TGTTGCCCTTTCCCTCCAGGTACGGTGGGGTCTCAGACTTGTGCCTGCCCGTGGGCACACGAGGCTCCGCCGTGGGCTGCTCTTGGCAGTGAGGATAGAGCCTTTTTTTCTGGAGCTTAGCTTGACTAAATGTGGGAGTCTGGTTTAATCTTTCCTCTTTTTCAGGGCTTGTAGGACGAGAGCTGCACACACCAACAGCAGCAGAGCCTGCTTTCTCAGGGCAATTGTCCTTCCCAGGCTCCTGCCTTGACATTTGGGTCCCCATCACCTCATGTTTGCCCTTCTGCAGGGAACGAGCCATTTGTCATTCTGTCTCCTGAATTTGGTTTCCATGTCAGGGACACTGGGCATTGCCATGCATCTCGTGGCTGCTTCTTTCTTTCAAGTGTAGAAATCTGAGATACTGGCGCTGGTCACCCTGAGGAGTGTCCTTCGGTGCTCTTCACATCAGACCTATGTCGTCCAATGCTTACTGACTGGGAAGAAATCTACTCAGCGTACTCTTCTTCGCTGTTTCACTTTAATCCCCGCAACATAAAATGAGCTTTTTTTTTGGAGACTATAAAGGGAAAATGTATTGGCTCTGGTGCCCTCTGGTGGCCAATCACATCACGCCATCTCCCCAGAAATTCAATGGCTGGCTGGGAGGGGCGCGGGTTTGCAGGACCTACTGGGACACCTGCCGGTCGGCTCCCCTACACATGGTTTACACGGGCTTTGATTTGGTGAAGTTAACTTTCTAAATCTCCAGTTATAGAACTAGGCGTTTTCCCTTTTCCCCTTCAAAGAGCTTTCAAGCAATTCCAAATGGGAAAAATATTCAACTGTCCGGTCAGTGTCTTGGGTCTGCCGAGAAAATGGGTTATTAGATGTTGTAACAGTGCTATTGGCCACACTTTGTAAGCTGAAGTTTTCGCACTCACCACTGCTGGAAGATCATGGGTACTGAGGGACAGGTGATGCGTTTCCAGACATCTTCCTATCGCTGGCTCCCAGGAGAAATAGGACATACTTCTGTCTTAAGGATCATTCTACCAGGTAAAGTGGCATCAAAACAAATAAGTCATGACAGTTCCTATTTTATTTTACAAGATTGTAAATAACTGCCTTCAAAATAGTCGCATACCCTCTGCCTTCAATCAACAAGAGGACAAGACAGGTCGCACTTACTGGGAGGCCAGCAGCCAAACATACGGTGCAGATTGAGACATAAGGGAATATTTTCTTTAAATGACACAATGGCTTCTCTTCCTGCCAAAGATTCTGACCACTGCTGGCCAGAGAAGGGTGGGTCCTAAATTTGGGAGATTTTTTTCTTGCTGCTTTAAACAATACAGTGTATTGTTTATTATTAAAAAAAATTTTTTTTAAGTTTATTTTTTTCAGTAATCTCTACACCCAACGTGGGGCCCGAACTCACGACCCCAAGATAAGAGTCACATGCTCTTCAGATTGAGCCCGCCAGGCGCCCCTGTTTATTATTATTGTTGTTATTAATTATCAGTAAAGTAAGTCAGACTGGCCTCCTCCATGCTTCTCCCATCCATGCCTTGTGTTCTTTCTAATGTGGTTAAAAGACCATGTGTAATGCTGCCTACACGGAACACTGCTTCTTAGGATCGTGCCCATTCCCCAGGCTCCTCCCTTTCCAGTCGGGATGAGTTAAGCCCTCTGGGGTGCTTGCTAAGAATAAAGAGAAAGTGCATTATGGACACTTAGCTGTCCATCCTCTCTCCTGCTCTGCAGAGGCCCTGGGGCATCTGCAGCGCTCCCCAGCCTCTTCCCCAGCTTGCAGTCCTTCCCACCCGGACTCTCCTCAGCCTGTCTTGGAGCTGCCTTCGAATCAGAAGCCTTTCTAAGGGTTCTTCCCTTTGAGCTCCATGTTGCAGCTCTAGCTTTCCCTGGAGAGTCTCTTCAGTTGAATTTCAGCTCCAAACGTGCCGTGATTGTAAGCAGCCCGCCCCTTTCCCTGCACCTCCTGCTTGGGAAAGTAAGAAGGTTGGACATGGTTGTTGGTTCTCAATCCAGAGCAGAGGGGTTCCCAGGGGCCTCCGAAGAGATCTCCCAACCACTCCTTACACTCCAATCGGGGGTCCCCCTTTTATCAGTTTTTTAAACTGGGCTTCTAAGAAATGTTTCTTTGGGGGAAAAAAATTGTGACTTAGGAAAATTTGAAAGAACAGTTTTTAAAAAACAATGGACAAGATGATCTAGTATCCCTTCTAAAGCTCTCAGATGCTTCAGAACTCCCTTCTGTCCCATCTCCTCCTGACCACTCCTTAGGAGAGAAGGCCATAAGTAACATTTTAGAGACAACATTTTGCACTGGGCTCCAGCCATCAGCTCTTCTAATGGGTCTTGGGCAGTTGTCCCAAGCCAGATAAGTCACATTAAAGCTGAGAACAAAACCAAGGGATTGCATTTCTTTTTAAAAAGAGGACCAAAATGTACAATGAGTTCCCGGAAACTGTTAAGATGCTTTTAAAAGATGTCTTAAATAATCATGCTCTTAAGCTTGTCTTAGCTTTTGAAACTTCTTGGGCAGGTTTCTGCTTTGTTTTGGTAGAAAGCTGTTCTAAAGAATGCTATGAAATTTGTATACCCTGGCATCAGGCTGAGGGAAGAGGGAGGAAGGAAACCAGTGTTGATCACGCACATACTGAGCTTCCGGGCCTGGATGCAGATTAACGGGGGTGGGGGAGGGATCCTCAAGACAGCCCTCTGTGTCCCCATTCGGTAGATCAGTGGCTTCCAGAACTTAAAGTCACGTGACCCAGGATGCCTGGGTGGCCCAGTCTGTTAGATTTCCAACTCTTGGTTTCTGCTCGGGTCATGATCTCGCATTGTGGGATCAAGACTCTATGTTAGTGAGGAATCTGCTTGTTCATCTCCCTCCAATTCTGCCCCTCTCACCCCCCACTCGCACGCTCACTCTCACTCTCTCTCTATCAAATAAATAAAATCTTCAAAAAAAAAATTTTTTTTTTAAAGTCACCTGATCACATAGCTGGTAAGACGAGAACCCAGCATTCAAACCAGGTGTGCATGATGCTGAATTTGCAATAGCCCACAGGGAACACAGAATCTGCTTTACTTGGGCAAAGCTTTTGAGGTCCAGAGAAATCTCTTCATAAATAGCAGCACCATTATTTTCTTCTCTAAGTGGGGGAAACTGTCCAGGACAAATGACTAACTCGATGGGTATGAGGACAGCAGACATGAAATGGCACCATCCCGCGCACACCAGGATGCGCGGTCACCCATCCCACGGGCCGGACAAACGCCTGTAACACAAGAAGAAGCAAGGCTGCCACTGGGAGAGTCACAAGTAAATGGCACAAGCCAAGATTTGAACCCAAGACTCTCTCTGAAACCCCAGTTCTCCCCACTATACGTCGTACCCCGCCTGTCATGCTCTCCTCACATACCCAAGGCCACAACGACATTTCCAGACTCATCTGATGTTTAGGGCTCTGATCGGCACTGGGGACGCCGTACGGAGGGAATCCCCACACAAAACTGTATTATCCTGAGCCGCTTTTTAGAAGGAAAACACCCAAACTGCATCTTAGTTCTAAACCCAGACCACAAGCTCTGTGTTGTCAGTGAGAACTCTGTGAATCAGAGTCAATGATCTGGAGGTTAAAAAGTCCCTTTTCCCCTTTTTTTTTGCCCCATTCCTCTGCTTTTCTCTGCCCTTCACTAAGGTTGGAGATGGGTTTACTTGTTGAGGGACTGCTGATGCTGGTGGACGGAAATAACCAGAAAGTTCTCTCGGATAAGTTGTTAGCAGCCATGGGGGAGTAAGCTCTATTAATCAGGCCGTTCTGTTTTCTCTATTTCTGATGTTGTGACATCTGGGGTCTTGCTCACCCTGGAGAGACTGCCCTTCCCAGGTAGCCAATTCCTAGAGATAGTGGTTGACTGGCCTTCTAGAACACCTTTCGTATGCAAACTAGCCCATCTAAAGCCGGTTCTCACACCTGCCTTCATGGCACCAGGGCCAGACAAGGAGGACAGCCCCCCAACCCCAGAGCCGGCTGACATTTTTCACACTAGCCAATCCCAAGCTTGCTTTCCCTGCCTCACCCATTCCTTCCCTTGAAAACCAAATCAAACATGTTGCTCATGTTCTGCCTCCAGACTGACCCTCGTGCTTCCCTGTGTGCACCCCGCAGCCTGGCCCTCTTAGGGATTGTGTGCAACAAACGCTTGTCAGTGGCTTTTGTCCTCCTTTTCCATCCAGAAAAGGATTGGCCTCGCCATACCTGGACAATAATAACACATAAGCCATCCATCCCTTCGAAAAGTCATCCATCCCTCTATTTCGTCCTCGTAATAGACAGTCTTAGGCCATGGGAACAGCGGGAGTGGGCAAAAGCAAGGGGCAGCTCCAACCCAGAACTGTATTTTCACCAGGAGCCACAAATTGCCTGCCTTCTCCTCAACGGTGGTCCAGCAAAGCAGAGAGAAGGCACAGATGTTCAAGAGATAAGCCAGTAAGATGTTACAGTGCCGTCCGGGCAGAGCCCACACGGAACCAAGCAAGAACCCTACACTGAACTGGGAAAACAAAGCCACACAACCACCAAAGTAATGCATCACAGCTGTTCCCTAGCCACTTGCTCCTGAAACCACCTCCAGGGAAGTGTGGGAGCCGCCTGAAGGACTTTTTGGGAAAAGGGGGGGGATCGTTAAAAATATGCAAATTGAATTCACTGCACTCAAATGCAGAAAAATTAAGAAGGTTCTAATAGTGAAGATATCAAAGGCAGAAAAATGGAATGTTCATGATGAAAAGAAATTCCAATCATGCTGGCGTTGACCCCCCATGGCTCTCCTGGTAAGTGAGAGAAGCGAATTGAATTCGTCCCAGGAACATTTGTCATCTGCAGTTAGGACAAGAAATCGACTTGCCCACATCGGTTTCACAGTGTGTGCCCGGCAGGTGTTTGGAGGCTCAGAATCGAATGAGATGTGCTGGGGCTTTTTCTACTCACCCTTTAGCCAGTGTCGCTATGCCAACGTCAGTTAACTTCATTCCTACACCTATAGGGAGAGAGAGGGGTGGGATTTGTGTTACCCGGGGCTCCTGGGAAAGGACTGGCCATCCATTCCGGGGGAAGGGGTACTGATAGCCCACCCGCCTTCCTCCTCGTTTCCATCAGCACTGACGGCCTTGCAGACATACTTCCAGCTTTGTGGGATGATAACGGGGGACGGCAGGCCTCCAACAGCACTTTAGGGGAATTGTGTCTCGTGGGAACCAGTGGTGGGGCCTGCCACCCCCAGCCACCCGCAGCCCTTTGTAGCTCGGGCAACGATGTCCTCTGTGTGCCTGGCCCAGCCCCCGCTGCCGTAGCTCCATGCACAGCTCTGAGCCCGGCTGCCTGGCCCGCAAGCTCTCTCCCTGGAAACGCTCAGACGGGCCTTCGGTCTGCTCCACCGGGTCACTGCAGTGGCGGGTGACGTGGGCATGGGCGTGGGCTGGGGGTGGTGGTGAGGTCAGCAGTGAGAGAGTCCAAGATGGCATTGGTTCAGTTCCAAGCCAAACTCCAGACATGCGATTTCCCATCCCCGTAAAGATGGTTTCCCAGTTAAGGAGGGAAGATTTTCTGGGTTGGCTTTAGGCCCAGGGAAACACTCCTGAGTTACATGGAGACTTGGAACTACTGGCCTGGAGATGCTGACCGCTGTGACCCACGGTCCAACCCTTTAACTTATCCTAACCTCTACCCATTAAACCATGGGGGTGGGGGGAGCTGGTTACCAACACCAAAACAAGCCACACAGCTCCCTGAGCTTCCCACTCTGGTTCAGCAAGAGCCACGGTACTCCGGATAGAAGCGCAAGCGCACAGGAGGTTTTTTGCCTCTGCCTCTCCAGCAAGAGCAGTTGAGAGAGTGGCTGAGGAACCAGAGACTCAAAGAAAACGGAAAATCCTTCTGTCTTGCAGGGCGGGGAAGGCCAGAGTAGCCATCGCCTGGAGCGGCAGAAGAGCCATGCTCTCACCCTGTCCCCGTCTCACTCTGCATCGCTAACCTCTTCCAGATCTGGAGGAAGACAAACCTTTCTGATGCCCGGAGTGTGGATGGCCTCTGGCCTTTCCAGACTCTCCTTGCCAGACCCGGGAGCATTCAGCTCCTGTCTCTCTAGGGTGGTGGCCACGGGCATGGGCTCCGACTCAGTGGACCTCCGCCTCAAGCACATGCCTGCAATCTAGTGATAGGCCTTCTGTGGCAGAGCATGGGGTCCACGGTGCTACCCCACCAGTCTGTCTGGCTTGCCTCCCCCTCTCTTGCCCCTACCTCTTGTCCTACCCAGGCCTGTGGTTGCTGTATTCCCCATGGCCAGCAGATGACCCGCTCGCAGAGGGGCCTGGCAGCACAGAAACCGGCCTGGGCTGTGGACGAAGGAAGCAGCATCCTCTCCCAAGCCAACCCCAAGGTCAGACTTGATGGCAGCCCAGCTCCGTGGGTCTCGGCTCTTATGAGCGCTGCTTTCGGAGGCCCGGGAGAGGAACCCGAATGGGTTAATGCCCTGATTCAGCAGCATCTGCCCGGAGCACGGCAAAAATACAGGCCACGCTGCTATTCAGGCTGGTTAGTCAGACAGAAGCAATGGTGTTCCTTTTCTGCAGTGCACCTGTGAGCTAAATCCGACCCGGCACTTTGGGTGAGCCAGTGAGCATTTTAAAAGCCGCTTTCGCAGAGGGCGAATAATTCATCTCATTCTTGCAAAGCTGCTAACAACGAGAACATATGCAGAAATGCTTCACATAACCTTTATTACAGGGGCTGTGCTTTAAAAAAAAAAAAAAAAAAAAAGACACCAAATTGTAAAAGCCCTCTTTGGACATCTTGTTTTTGTGGAATGCTGTATTTAAAAATCACAGCTCTGAACTGCATTTCAGTCCAATTTTAAAAGGTCATTTGGCAAAAGGTCCTTGAACTTGGAAATTGCTTTTCCTGCCTCTCACAATTACCAGCTATCACTTACAGTTGAGAAAAATATATTATAATTTTGAAAAGGAAACGTGTCTCGGTTTAGTAATTTGCTGGGGATTCAACCAAAGTCTCCATAGGATAATAATTTGAATTCTAGTGTGGAGCAATGAAGTGGAGTGGGGGATAACAGTCATCTACGGGTCGTTTCTGGTGGAAGGAAGGAAGTAGGCGGCATCAGGAATTTGTTCTCCAGAACTTGAGTTCTTGGGTCCTTGGGGTGACCACTTCTTAGGATCCCTAGTGATCTCAGCGGTGGGCAGACCTCAGGGCCAAATCACATGCGGGGATTTCACCCCCAAGCTTGCAGAACCCACCACAATCCTGTCAACAACCTAATGCAATGAGGGAGGGGATCGCTTTTAAGAGTCTGAGAAGGTCATAGTGGAGTTGGGTTTGTTTGGGGTTTTTTTAATCCTCATTCCAGTGTCTCAGTTAAATTAGAAAATGTACAGGTTCTCTAGAGAATGGATGCGCTATCTTGTACACAACGATGATGACAATAAAGAGATTTTCCCCAGCAGCAGAGAGTAAATAAACCCCGTTATGATACACCGTGCCAACACATTAAACCGCACACATCATTTACCGAGAGATGTAACATTCCACTACGCTTGTTTACAAGTGCCTGGAAGCAAAACTAGCTGTGCACGGAGTTCCAGGGTGTTGCTTTTCAGTAGAAGAACTACATTTATTGCAAAATTAACTCTGAAGGAGAAAAGATGGAGGGGGGAATCCAGAATTACACAGCCGGAGTCTAACTAGAATAGATAGGGATGTGTGTGTGCGTGTGTGTGTGTGTGTGTGTGTGTGTGTGTGAGACAGTGGAGTCTCTTCAGAAAGTGAGCGGGTATGGCAGCCTTCAATATGCAGATTGGCCCCATCTGCAAGACTGTAACACGGTGCACTTCCCAGCTGGCCTACAAGAAGGTCCTCACTAGAAGCTTTAACATCGGGAGACACTTGGCAATCTCTTGCAAATTGGTAAATTTGCAGTTTAGTGGAAAGAGCTTGGCTTTTGGAGTCAGAAACCACAGGGTAGAGTCTTGGACCCCTCTGCTTATTAGCTGAGTGACAGCAGACAAAGCACTGTCTCTGAGCCTCTGTTTTCTCATCTGTAAAATGGGATCCTAATGTCTTCTTTGCAGACTTATGTCTTATGTCTTCCTTTTGTCTTATGAAGATCAGACAAAAATTATAGGAAAAAATGAGTACATACAAAAAGGGGGACCTCTCTGAACATTTTTGCAACTTCTTGTGTCTATGGTTATCTCAAAATAAAAAGTTTAAAAAACCGGGGAACACTTACTATGTGGCAATGCTGTGCTACATGTCTTCCCATTCTGTTTAAGCCTCACAACAACCCCACATGTAAAGTACTGAGGCGCAGAGAGGGAAGTAATTTGCCCAAGGCTCACAGCTAGGAAGCGGTGGGAACAGAACCCAGAGGCAGTCTTGCTCTTCACCACCAGGCTGTAGAAAGAGCTGGAGATCCTCGTCTGTGACAAGGTCTGACATAGAGCAGGCACCCGATTATAGTTCAGATTTTTCTTTGCAGTATTATTATTTGGAAAGGAAGACGAAAAGGAAAACCCTTATGGTAGAAACTGTTGGCGCCCCACCCACTGCCCTCACCCTAACCGCTTCTGTGCACGCTGGCCCCCCTCCACGTGCCACCAGCATTTCTTTGCCTGAGAACTTTCTCTGATCACGGGAGCCTGCTTTGCTCAGCTTGGCTTGTCCATGTGCAGGGGGCCAGTGCAGGAGCATTAACACCCCCACCAGGAGTAGCCTTCCACCGGTAGCTGAAGACAGTTGGTGTATAAATACCCCTGCTCCCTCACTCCTTGCATGAGATAATTCTGAGGAGCGTGCTCTGCACAGGCTCCCAGAGTCTCCCCAGCAGGCAGGAGCTTCAGTGACCCGCCGCGGAAACTGGCTTTGTTAATAAGGTTCCCCTGCTGGCCGCCTTCCCACTGCCTGTCCCACTTCTCTCTCCTACCAGCGTTTCCTGGGATCCCTTCCCCAATATTTGTACCTGAACATTTGTGTGCAGGGAAGGATTAACCTTGCCCAAGTAAAGGTTCAATCCTCGCCCAGCTCCTGAGAGGTAACCCCTAAGCCCCGGAATGACCTGCCTGATAAGAGTGTCTTGGTCTACCTGGGGCCATGGGTGTGACCTCTGGAGAGGCTAGAGACCAAAGTCCACCTTGTGACTAGTGATGCCTATGTGACGCGCCCCCCTCCCCCCAGTAAAAACTCTGAACACCGAGGTTTGGGCGAGCTTCCCATGCTCTTCCTGTGCACTGCCATACATCGTTGCTGGGAGAAGTAAGTGCTGTCTACATGACTCCACTGTGACAGGACACCTGCCAGTTCCACCTGGCTTCCCCCTGACTCTGCCCCACGAGCCTCTTCCTTTTGCTAACTTGAGTCTGTATCCTTTCACTGTAAGGAACCATAACCATGAGTGTAAAGGATTTTCTGAGTTCTGTGAGTTCTTCCAGCAAATCAATGAACCAGAAGGTGGTCTTGGGGAACCCCAAACTGCAACTGGTCTCAGGGCTGTCTCTCTGGGTACCCTAATTATCATATCCCCACTTCATATGACAAAGGGATTCCCGTCAATTTGCATATAAATTGATAATGCTGCAAACTAGCCAGTGGAGCTTGAAAATCTAAAGCAACTGTGAAAGACCCTTTCACCTATTAAGAATGAATGATTACATCTTAATTCATCTTTTGGTACAGCCAGATTTTCCTCCATACTTCGGAATTGCCCCTGTGGAGGATAGAACAATCAAGCCAATTTTCGGTTACCTGTAGTAATAGGAACGCATTATTGGTATGAATTATTACAATGTACTTTAGTGCTCCATTTGGCTGGTCATTTCAGGTTCCTCTCTCAGCCCTTGTTCCTGATGAGACATTAGTCACACCTTCTGCTGGTAAAGATGCTTAAAGGCATCCAGCAGACCTCTCCCTCTCCTCCCATCCACACCCCCAGGAATATTCCAGGCCCGTGGCATCCCTGGAAGCCAGGCCAGGCTGCTTTCCTCACCCTGCATGTCCGTGACCAGGAGGCAGCCACTTGTCTTCTGGTATACCCAGTGCTGGAAGGTACAACACTTCTGACCAGCCTCCGATTCTCTTCTCAAGAAGTTTATCTCCTTCCCATCCCTGATGGAATACTTCACAAATTCTCCAATCAGCTCCTCCTCCACTGTTGCATAAGGGATGTTGTTCGCAGGGCGATGGATAAGAAAGATGGGAATTATCCTGGAAGGGAAGACAGCATGGGCACACATCACGTTCTCACCTGGAATTAGAGACTGGGGGCATTCTGCCTTCACTTGGGGGAGCGGGGAGATGCAGAACAAATCCCCAGACCCCACTAGATATAGGCTGGCCCCCGACCACAATGGTTGTTCAATAGGTGGAAAGATACATTTCTGTCTTTCCTTTGTGCCTGGAGTTGGGCAGAAATCCTTCCTTGGGAAGGAGTTTGACTGCCCATGTGGAAATGAATGTTTGCTTTATAGTCATATCTCAGTGACCCATTGGCCATATATCCACCCATCATTTCTCCTTCTTTCTTTCTTGCCTTCCTTCCTTCCTTCCATTCAGTCAGCAAATATTCATTCAGTGGTTTCTATGTCAGATGGTCTTCCACATGCTGTTCCAGAAAACAGCGAAGAAAACAGAGGCTCTGCTCTCAAGGATCTTACATTTAAATGAGGGAGACAGGCAATAAAGAAGTCAATGTATAGTAGTGCTAGGTGCTAGGTGAAAAAATAAAGCAGTGGAAAGGTGCTAGGTCGCGCAAGGATCAGGCAGGGGCTGCTATTTTACTGAGGGAGGTCAGAGAAGGCCTTGTTAAGAAAGAACGTTTGAGCAGAGACCTGTAGGAAGGGAGGTAGGGAGCCATGAAGGTATCTATGGGAAGAGCATTCTAAGTAGAAGGAACAACAAAGGGAAAAGGCGCTGGTGCAGGAGCATTCTTGGTGGGTTCCAAGAGCAGGGAGGCGCGCGTGTGGCTGGAGTAGAGTCAGCAAAGGGGAGGTGGTAGCAGGTGGGTGCAGACAGGGAGGGAACGGGAAGCCAGACCTCATGGGGTCTGGAAGGTCATTTGAAAAACTCTGGCCCTTTGTACCGATTTGGATGAGAGGCTACTGGAGGGTTTTGGACAGAGGAGTGCCACGATCACACACCCGTGTTATGGATGAGTCTGCCACTCTGGGGAGAAGGGGCCGTGTGGGGGCGAGGGCTGAGCAGGGAACCAGGGAGCACACAGCACAACAGTGGTGGTGGCCGCAGGGGAGAAGGGATACGTGCCGAATGGGGTTTTCCGCACAGTCCCTTCGCCGTCACCCCCCTAGATGATTGTTTCCCATCGCTCCTCTCCTCACTCCGCCCCCCTCCTCCCCAGCCTCCCTCTCAGCTGATGGCCTTGCTTCCTGGGTTACGGTGCAGACTGAAACAATCAGAAGAGAGCTTCTAAGGGCTGCCACCACCACAGGGTCCTACCTCCCGGAGTCTGCGCGCCCCCCTTTGCCCCCCATGATGGCTTAAGCCTCCTTGCTCCCCCCTGCACCTCTTCTTCCACTGGTGTCCCGGATCTGGCCACCCCCTCTGATATCAGGGTTATTGCCCCAGCAAGTACTGCCCACATCCTCCATCCCCTCTTCCCTCTGCAGAACCATCATTGCCAAGTGGCCCAGCAACATGCTGAGACACTCTGCACAGCATGCTGACCCCACAGCTCCTCAACCACCGACTCACGGCTGCCATCCAAACTCAGATCAGTTTAGACTCACTGTCTGCAGTCCCTCCCCTCCCAGTCTCTCTGGAACCCACTCACGGAGGCATGCCCACTAAAGAAGCTTCGGTCAAGGGCACCAGTAGCATCCAGGTGTGGCTGAGTCCAACGGTCTCCTCTTCGTCGCCGTCTCACTTGCTCTCAGTGCCACTGGACACAGCTGATCTCTCAAAGCACCTTCCTGCTGCTTCCAGAGACTCACCTCCTCTTGGTCTCCTTCCTGCTCCACTGGCTACTTTTTTCCTGTCTCCTTCGCTGGATCCTCATTTCTCCCCAAACTTTAGAGCCGGCATGCCCTGGGAGAGCTCTTCTCTCTCTGCCCACACTGGCCAGTGACCTCCTTGCTTCAAGTACAGTCGGCATGGTGACCGTTTCCACGTTTATATCCCCGGTCCAGACCTCTCCCCTGAGTTCCTGACTCACATGTCCAGCCTCCTACTCTCTTCGATCGATGCCTAATAGGCACCTCAAATTTAACACAGCCAAAACTGAACTCCTCATGTGCCCCACACTCCTATCTCTGCCCCACCTCGGTGACTGGCGGCTCACCCTCCCATTCTTTTCATTCAGTAAAGGTCTACTGAGTAGCTTATGCCAGAATCTCAAAAACTCACCAGGAAAGCGAACATGAAAGAGACACAGCCCCTGCTTTGCAGGGACAAACGCTGGGAAGGGAGGTGCACCCTGCTCCCAACTCCTAACTAATAAAGACAGGCTGCAGGCTCTCCAGGGGCGGCGTGGCGTGACTTGAGTTGTAAAGACTGAGCAGAAATAAGCTGGTAGAGCGGGAGGCAAGGGGGAGGGGCACGCTAACAACCCCATCCCCTCCATCTTGGTACCCCTAACTTAGTGTCCCCCTCCCCGCTCACTCACACACGCACACGAGCCCATCTGAGTCTCACCCCCAGGTCCTCTCCTCACCCCACCCTGCCTGAACTGAAGCTTCCCTAACACTCCTCCCTGAGGTCCGCCTCAGGGGTGCTCTGCTCACCCCTCCCACTCCCCAGTTACGCTAGCATGGAGCAAAGATGTGACGTCCCAACTGGCCCTTCCCGTTCATCAGTCACTGAGCAAGGAATAAACCGCACAGGGGCTTGTGAGGGGATGTGTAGAAACGCGCCTCACTTACCACTCACTGCGGGAGCAACCATGCGTTGGTTTGGCTCCAAGTCCAATTCACTCTTTGACCCATTACCCCTCGGGTATTCATTTCTAATTCATTTTCTACCCAACTTCTTTTCTATTTCATATGACACAAAAATCCCACTTGCTGGGGTGCCCAGGTGGCTCAGTCAGTGAAGAGTCCAACTCTTGGTTTTGGTTCAGGTCGTGATCTCAGGGTCATGGGATCGAGCCCCGCATCGGGCTCTGCGCTCAGCACAGTCTGCTTGAGATTCTCTCTCCCTCTGCCTCTGCCCCTCCTGCTCATGCTCTCGTTCTCTCTCTCTCTCAAATAAATAAATAAGTCCTAAAAAAAAAAAAAAATCCCGCTTGCTAAGGTCACTCATTCTGATGGCTTTTAATTATTGCCCAGGATCTTGCCGCACCACCTGAGCGTTGACCCTTTTTCCCTCTGGAAGGACCCTCTCCCCTTAACCAGGTCTGGGACACTGCCTCTCCCCCTGCTGTCCAGTGACCAAGTCCCACTACCACTGCCCCTCCCCGGGGCTGTAGCAAGGCCTCTCCGACTGCTCTCACTGCATCCAGCCTCTGCACCTCCTCTCGCGTGGGCCTCTTCCTTCCGGGGGCTAGCACTGATGCCCCCACCAATGTTCTGCCCTCCATTTGCACCACCACCGCCAGGTGGAAACGTCTCGGTGGTCCCTGCACACCCCGGAGCATCTCGAGGCTGAGAAGCATCCAAATCATCCCCACCCAACACATACACGATCACACTCACTGTGCCGTCTCCTCTAAAGTCCTGCTTGCGTTCAGCTTTTCTAACATGGTTTCAAGTATGGAAGCCTTTATGAAGGCTCTGTGTGTGTGTGCGTGTGTGTGTGTGCGTGTGTGTGTGTGTGTGTACGTGTGTGTGTGTTTCCCGGTGCAGAATCCTCTGATTTTGGTTCAATGAGCATGGAATCGGAGCAGATGCCTTTGTGAGGACCCCTATCCTTCCGTATGTTATCATTCATGCACTCACAGATTCTTCCCCTGTAAGGAAGGGACAGGTGTTTACATATCAAAATGTCCTAGTCTGTCTTTAAGCCAGTGACATATACGTGGGGGTGCTGATGACGCTCATTAGCCCTGTGTCCCTCATAAGCACAGTCCCTTCCCAAGTCCCTGCACCAATCTTTGTATTCATAATTTTGTGCTGTTTTCTTTAGAAAGCCCCCCGATTGTGGTGTCAAGTCACGCAAAACTTGGGTGTGCCTCGCCGGACAGGGCCATGGTCCCGTGCTTTGTGGACAGCTCATCCAGTTGCCTCTCTTCCTCCTTAAGAAGAACTGAAGGGGGCGGAGACTGGGAAAGGGGGCTGGAGAAGAAAGAGAATGTGCGAGTTCACCGTAACTCAGTCCAGATTGCTCTCTTTGTGGGTTTAACAGAAAAGCACTTGTGTATTTTCTTTGCATTATGTTAATTTTTCTTGAAGTTGCTGAGAAATGTTTGTGAACTAAATAAGGACACTAAGCATTTCCTGACAAAGAGCAGAAAGACTGGACTTTCTATATGATATGCCCAATACGCTAACTCAGGGAGAGTATTTCCCCCCCTTTGTGAGCTGACAGAATCAATGTAGGCAACAATTCCCTCCTTCCTTCTTCTCCCAGTTTCTACTGAAACACAAAAGACTGTTCTGTCTGAAATTTCCAACGTGCCCTGGCATACCTCTTTCTCTTTCCACTTAAACACACACATATGATCTCAACCACATAAGCAGGCTAGCAACCACAAGTTCCAGACCCCCAAACATCTGCTTGGGTCAATCCATGTTTAGTCAATGAGTGGATTAAAATAATCAGTGTAATTTATCTCTGCAGGGTTCCAGGAAATGGGTAGTATGTTCCTCCACTGATGATACCCAAGTCACTCTTCTTAGACACAGGCACCATATTTTATTTTCATCGTAGGGTAATTGTTTTGTGATAGTCTCGTGTTCTCTTATACCGGCTTATTGTTGAGACAATGTCATATCCGGGAAGCAGATACTCTTTCTTTTCTGTTTAACATGATACGTTTATCTAATTCATTTTCTATCCAATTCCTTTCTATTTCATATGACACAGTTATTGAATTCATCTCTCCATCCATCTACCCATCCTTCCATCCATCTATCTGTACACACGTGCATGCAAACATACGTTGATTTAAAGAATGTATTAAGTATCTCTCTGTAAGCCTCTGGCCACCTAGTAAGGAACAGGATAGCAGCCACATGTGTTCTCATAGGTCCCAGACAGAAAGACCAGGTGAACTGCTTGTCCTACTGGTCCTTCTCACCCTCTCCTCCCTCCAGGCCCCCCAAGTCCCTGACAAATCGGGAGTGGTAATACAAGAGCGAGTAAACACACTTACTCTGGCACTTCTCCAAAGCCTTCCAGAGGCTGTGCTTCGGCAGCATAGATCTGGGCATACTGTCGGGCAGTATTCTGGACATAGCATTCCTACGTCACCCACACACATGAGAAAGACAAGTGATTAGAAGAAATTCAGAGTTGCCGGTAAAGCTAATCAGATTTCCTGATGTGGGTCAAGCCAGTGGATTCCCAAACCCATCCATCCCTTGGTCAGGAGCACAGAAGCAACAATTATTACAACCTAGAGTTGTCCACTTGCTGAGGGGCTCTGAGACCTGAAGGAACTATCTAGGTCTCTGGGGCCAGGTGTCCTGAACTACAAAAGTTCTAGAAGCTGGATGGCTGAAATTCACCCTAGGCTAAGGGGAATGGCCCCAGGGCAGCATGTCAGGGCCCGCTGGTCTGCCTGTGAGCTCTCCCATCTGAAGTTCTTCTTCCGGGGTGTGATGAGAGTTGCGGGTAGTGAACAGCTCGACAAGATTGTTTGCCTCGGAAAAGCGAACTGGATTCTGCTTTCTGCTCTGTAGGGCCTCTCCAAGAGGGAGTCTGGATGATGGGGGTTTTCCCTGACTGGACCAGATGGTACTTGAGATGGAAAGATATGCAATGAAAGAACAGAAAAAAGGAGGGTTGATTTGGAGGAGAAAGGAATACAATTGGCAAAATACTATACTCAGAAGAGGGGCTGCCTTCATGAGCCCCAAGTCCCACCTGACATCAGCACATCTGAGACAATGATGGGTGGTTAGAGCTTGACAGTACCCAGGAGATTCAGCGAAGTCTAACCTATCTGTTCTACAGGTAACAGTTCTAGAAGGGCACCTCCTCTGCGAAAGAGCTAGACCCAACACTCTCGAAAGCTTGGCCAGTGCTGATGTCAAGAGTGAAAAACATGGGCCAAAGTGGGAGGGGGAGGCAGGGAGGGAAGCCCATGCTCTCTTCTTGTCTCAAGACTGTATGACTCAGTAACATAGGGAGGTGGGAACTTAGCTGGAGTCTTGGCTCAATCTCTCCACAAAGCTTATAGGCGGACATTGACCCAAACTCAGAAAGGCAGAAAACAGGACAAATGCTGAAGCTTCTGATTATACCCCACACCCCTCCATAAACCAAACCAAA